AAGAAAAAAAAAAAGTTATACAATTATGCTTAATTGTGTAATTTCCTTAATTTAATGTTGGGAGTTTTGGACCTATATTTTAGATAAAAAGAAAATGAAAACCATTTAAAATAGTTTGAGAACATGGATTATGTGATTTAGCGCAAAAAAAATATAAGAAATTTCACGTTTTGCTCTAGTGTAAAAAAAACATTTAAATTTTTTAAAATCTAAATATGCATATTTAATAATTAAATTTTTAATCATAATTTCATTGAAAATTGAAATATTTATAATAAATCATTTACTAATAAATTATCATTTTAAAAAACATTCTTAACAAATTCTCTCTGATGTTGCAGGGGTAGGCTCGTTGTGGGTTTTAGATATAAAAACTCGTAAACCCCAACTACTTCGTCATCTCCACTGCCTTGCCGCCACAGCCATTGACCCTCCGAAGCTGCTGCATTTCTCGACGGTTCTTTCTCAAGCCTTTGCTTCCACTGCTCACTGTCACTTCTACTGGTGAGACTGGGCGCAATTTTCTTACTCTTAGATAACATTCAACCATAATTTCAATTTCTACTCTCTACAATTGTTTTGCCCCAAATATGGCCCCTTTAGAATCTCTAACCACTGATTGTTGCTATTACTCTAATCAAAATTATCCTCCTCTCTCTCCGCTAGATAATGTTACGTTACCTTATCCTTTCCGTGCTCAACATATGCCTATATTAACTTCCATTTTCCATCAATAACCCCTAAATATGTATATGATTTTATTTTTTTTGCTTTGTAATGTACAGATAAGCAGTTTAGCTTTCTTTCGATATTTCATCTTTGCATTATTTGTTTTAATCTGCACTTTTGGGTCATGCTAGCAAATGATGTAACTATATTGCTACAAGAATACTATTGTGATGATTATTAGAATTTCCGGTTATGTTATTTCCGTCTCCCATTAGTGGTGTTGTATGCTTCTTCTTTTTGTTTTTCGTATATGTTTATTGTAACAAGTTTTGAACTTTTATAGCTGAGTCCCACCTTTGTAGGGAAAAGAGGATAGGTGAATGAGAAGTGCGCCAGCCGTTTATATAGCTTGAGAGTGCCCAATTGACCGAACAACTAAGATGGGACATATAGGTACTCTGCAAAACAATTTTCTCAGCTTCCATTCTTTGAATGGTCTGCTTGGTTGTAACAAAGAAGAGAGCTGTATTTTTGGGGCTAATTCTGCTCCGGATCACAGTTCAAGGAAAGAACCGCCTACCCTACACCGACTCTACTTTGGTGATTACTTTTGTTCAACTAAATATCATTTTCCTTGGAAAGGATTGCGGTGTAAAAGTTTTCACGGAAGTGTTTTAATTGATAGAGTTGTTGAAGTTGACAATGGAGGTCGTGGCTTTGGAAGCGATTATGTTGGTGTAAAGAGAAATTCCGGGGATTTAAAGGATTCGAACAATGCTAGAAACTCTACGAGTCTGTCACCTGAGGAGGCACCATTCGTTGAAAATGATGAAACGACCAACAATAAAATTCTTCAGAGGCTCTGCAGTCTGGGAAAGTTAACAGTGGCGGCTAGGTTGATTGATATCATGGCTCGGAAAAGTCAAATACCGCATTTCCCTTCTTGTACCAATTTGATCCGAGGTTTTATTAGAAAAGGTGTTGTAGGTGAAGCTTGCAAAATAATGAACAAAATGGTCATGTCTGGTGGCATTCCTGACACAATTACATACAACATGGTTATTGGTGGCCTGTGTAAAAAAGGTCATTTAAGATCTGCCCTTGATCTAGTAGAAGATATGAGCCTGAGTGGTTGCTCCCCAGATGCAGTTACTTATAATACAGTAATTCGCTGCCTATTTGATAAGGGGGATTATCATCAGGCAGTTAGTTTCTGGAGAGACCAATTGAGAAAAGGCTGCCCTCCTTATCTGATTACTTATTCAGTGCTTATTGAGCTGGTTTGCAGATATTGTGGGGCTGCTCACGCCCTAGAAGTACTGGAAGACCTGGCAATGGAAGGCTGTTATCCTGATATCATTACATATAACTCTCTTGTAAATTTGACTTCTAAACAAGGGAAATACAAGGATACGTCTTTGGTTATATCAAATCTTCTATCCCATGGAATGCAGCCCAATGTTGTGACATACAATACCCTTATCCACTCTCTTATTAACCATCGATATTGGGATGAAGTTGACGATGTTGTGAGGATTATGCACGAGACTTCCTGTCCTCCTACACAGGTTACATACAATATCCTTCTAAATGGCTTTTGTAAATCTGGACTTTTGGATCGTGCCTTAAGCCTCTACAGCACAATGGTTAGTAAGAACTGTTCGCCAGACATTATAACATACAATACTCTTCTAAGTGGTATATGCAAGGAAGGGTTTATAGAAGAGGGCAGCCAGTTACTTAACCTATTGGCAGGTACTAGCTGTTCTCCTGGATTAGTCACCTATAATATTTTAATTGATGGGTTGGCTAGATTGGGTTTCATGGAGTCAGCAAAAAAATTCTATGATGAAATGGTGGAAAACGGAATCATTCCTGATGAAATTACTCACAGTAGTTTGACTTGGGGGTTTTGTGGGGCAGATCAATTCGAAGCAGCTACGGAGCTGCTAAAGGAAATGCGTGAGAAAGAACAACGGATTAAAAGTACTGCATATAAATGTGTAATCCTTGGATTATGCAGGCAAAAGAAGGTTGAGATTGCAATTCAAGTGCTAGATTTGATGGTGAAAAGTCAATGCAATCCAGATAAGAGGATATATTCTGCTTTAATCAAAGCTGTCGCTGATGGGGGAATGCAAAGGGAGGCTAATGATTTGCATCAGACGTTGATCAAATGGAATATTCTGAAAGAAGAAATCATTTTGGATTAGTTGAAGTTTGTGTATAAAGATAGGCACAATTTCACACTTCAGGTCACGTACAGATTATACGTTCTCTAAGGTAATTCTTTTGATCCCTTTTGCTCGTGGGAATTTGATCGTGCCTATTTGAATTAGTTTCACACTTCCTAAGTTCTCTCTAATTCTCTTACTTTCTAATCATGGTAAAGATTGGAGTGAGATGTCGGTGTTACACACCCTAAGTTTTCTCTAATTCTATTTCTCCCTATTCGTGGTAGAGATTATAGAGATAAAGAATTTGGGGAACAAATCTTCCCCTGAACACAAGGGGATCCAAATCCTTCTTTCTGAGGTTGATTATTGGTGGAATGTAATGATAGCTAACTCCATAAGTCTTTTGTTTCTATTCTAGTTCAGAATGTTTTTTTTTCTTTTTTTTCTTAAAACAGATACGTGTTACAATGACATTGCTTTAGTGCATTTTCCCTTCTTTTTTTGTTAATTTACAACTTGCCTCGTTCTTTCAGGTCGATAGTGACAATTTGCAACCACCCTGGGTGCTATTACATTTTACTAAATTAAGTACAATTGCCTATCGTTGATCTTAAGCAATAATTACATTTTAAGTTGTTGACATTAATAAAATGAAATGTCCATGTTATATAGGCCATAAGGCTACTAGAGAATTGAGTTTCTTGTAATAATGTTTAAGTTTATGTTTGGATATCTAGTGGTAAATGAAATGGAATGCGAGGTGATGGAGCAAAATAGAATAGAGTAAGATGGGGGCAAACTTACTATTACTTTTATGATGAAATGTAAAAAAGAAAGAAGACAAATTCCATATTATACCCTCAAGTTAGATGGATGAAAGAGAGGGTGTTTGATGTTATGGAAGGGATTGCGTTCCATCTTATTTCACTGTACACTAACTTTAAACAATTCAAATAATGGAATCTATTATAATTCCATTCCATCAATTCTTTTGTTAATTCTAGCATATCCTTGAATTTTAATTTCATTTCTACTGTCAGCTTAGCTTTTGATATCAGAATATTAGATGAAGTTGGAAGGCATTTTACTAGATTTTTATTTAGTAAACCTCTACTCTTGTGCTTGAGATTGTAAACATCGGTGAATTAATCTTTACTTAATTTGTGTGGCTAAGACTCTCTAATTTTTGCTGTGGGTATTTGCCAATGTAGGAAAACATGTTGGGAAGTTTTGACGGATAGTTGCGTGGGGCTGCAAGATCCGACGGTATTGGCTAATACTGTCTCTCAGCATGAACTAGAATTTCGGTAGTTGTGGTTGACAAGAACATGTGCTGGTGTTAAGTTATTTTTGAAGTCAATCCAATCTTCAAGTTTTGTCCATGTGTTAATTTTGGTAGTTTTAATTTCGTTCCGTTGACTTGTATAATACAATCTAAAGAGCAATTTCCCATTTCAATAACATTAAGATAGCATGTAGTAATCATGGGTGTTGTTGATTTTTTGGAGTTATCTATGTCAAACATCTTTTGTAGTTCATTGCATTATTTAGATTGACAAATTAAGATACCTTGAAGTCCAAGAAAGAAGGGTAATCTGTCTCAGGTCTCTGGGGATTGTCTGTCTCAGGTCTTGGAGTGCGATTTGTATTTCTGTTGGAGAATTTTACTGAACTCCAATTGATTTTAAGATGAAATCCGACATGTTCACCAACGCGAACCTCTCGAACTCCTGCGTTAAAACTTGTGAATTCTTGGTGAATGTATCCATTAGGTGATCCAAAAGTAGTATCATCTATAAAAATCTGAACTAAAAATATGTCATCGAATCATTAAGGAATAGAGTAGAATTAACCTTTTGAAATCTCTCAAATTACCTAACCTTTCACATCAGTTCGTTGTCAAGTGAGAAGTTATTTTTAAATCTCCACTATATTATTTTATTTACTGCATAAATCATAGTATGTTGGAATTGCTAATTGTTACTGCTAAGAAATTAAAAGGATTTTTTTAATGATAAAGAAATAGGTTCTCGTGTGATATTTTAATCATTGTTTAGCAAGATCTGTATAAGCTATAGATTTTGACAGATTTCAATTTTCTGTACAAGTCATCGGAAAACAATGAGGCAAAAATTTGGCACTTGAAACAATAGAGACTTGGTAATGACAGTCCATTTGATATTTTCTGTCCTTCAAACTGCACCTCTAAAACAGTAAATTAACAAATGACGCATTAAAATGATCTGAACAAACTCTCAATTAGAAGACTCAAGTAAATCAGCTTTGTGTACGAGAATCAGGCACGGAAAAGGCTTTGTTTGTTTAAACGTCTGAATAAATCTTGAGAAATAGCATTAATACTAGCAAGGGATTTTGCCAGCTCCATAGCATCACTTGGCCATCCAGCATAGCTAACCCCTTCGACCAACAACGTGTAGGTTGTTTCATTTGGCTGACATCCATTGTCAACCATAACAGCAAGCACCTCAATGGCATCCACCATTCTGTGTGCTTTGCACAACCCAAGAAGAACAATGTTGTAACTAATAACAGTAGGTTGCCACTCACTCCTTTCCATGTCTACCAACAACCCAATGGCTTCATCTACCATCCCATCTCTGCACAAACAAGATATGAGTGAATTATAAGTGATCCTATCAGGATCAACACCGTTGTTCAGCATCTCCAAAACCATCCCCAATGCTCTAATTTTGTCCCCACTACTCCAAAGTGCTCCCAACATTGTGTTATATGAACTCACATTTGGAGGACAGCCCACTTCATCAAGCTTCTTAAAGATGGTCAAAGCCTCATCACCTCTTCCCTTCTTACACAGAGACCCCATGATAGTGTTGTAGTTGACAATATCAGGTAACCACCCAGCAGATATCATATCATCCACAAACCCTATAGCCAAATCCACTTTTCCCTCTTTGCAGAACGCAGAAATCAACGGATCATAGCAATAAGCATCAGGGCTCAACCCTTTCTCCTTCATAACCTTTAACAAATCCACAGCCTCCCCAGTTTTGCCATCACGGCAAAGCGAATTAATCAAAACGCTGTAAGTCACAACATTCGGCTCACAACCCTTCAACATCATATCAGACATCAACCTCTCCCCAGTTTCCCATCTTCCCTCATTCAAAAGACCCTTCAAAACCAAGTTGTAGAGGTTCAAACTCGGGGTGGTGCTCAAATTGCAAACAAAGTCAAACGCTCGATACACCAATCCTTGTTTGCACATGCCCCTCACAATCACATTGTAAGTATACATATCAGGTTGAAGCCCTCTTGACATCATCTCATCAAGAAGCTTCATTGCCTCATCAATGCCACCGTGTATGATAGTCGCTTCTATCAAGATAGTGTAAGTGATCACAGTGGGGTTGCAGTTATCTTTCATCAACTGATCCATAACCTTCATAGCCAAATCAAGCTTTCCCCTTGCACAGAGGCTCCCAATGAGAATGTTGTAGGTGACAACATCAGGGGAGAATCCTCTGTCCTTCATTCTTACAAGCACCCCATTTGCAGCATCAAATCTATCGCTCCTGCAGAACCCACTAATCACTGCATTGTAAGCAAAAGCATCAGGGTCACCATGCTGTTCCAGAATCTCCATGACTCGCACCGCTTTCTCCGTTTTCTTGGAAGTGAACAAGCCCTTGATGAGCTTGGTGCAGAGAATGACGTCGGGTTTGTAATTCCTCTTCACCATTTGCTCCAGAAAATAGAGGGCTTCGGTGTACTTGCCCGTTTTGCACAACCTGTTGAGGGCTCTCATGTGATGGGTGTCTCGAAAATCGTAGTGTCGGGGCCCAGTGTCTGAAGAATTCACCCTCCCGTTTCCCTTATTGTAGTTGTTCTTTCGCTTCCTGGGGTTGTCTTCATTTAGAACCGGGATTCTGCATGTGATGACAGCGTTGGGTTTTGGATGCCACGAACTCTTCGAGTTTGTTCGAAGTGAGAGGGTACGCGACAGGAATTCGGTTGAAACTGTTGTCATTGACGATGCTGTGAGTTCAACTTCCGAGTTTCTCTACTCATCGACAAATGGGTACCCACAACGGAAGTGGCAGAGCAAAAATTAGGAGTTGGTTTGTGGATAAGGGGTTGAAAGAGTGCAGTTGGGGCGTGAATCCAACAAACACAAAGAAATCGATTCCAGACCGCAATTATTATTTTATGTTTATTTAAACTTTTTTATCCTATCTTTTTTCGTGTTCATGGATGACACAAAAATGGTCAAAGGGACTTTTCGATTACAATGAATTTGGGGAGAGTAATATATCTAAATTTTGTTTTTGTTTATTTGAGTAGATTTGGAAATAGACGAGGATGAATTTAAAAGTAAATTTTTTAATATGTCATATCAATTCAATTTTATACTAATTCTTATAAATTTTATTAATCTACTCAAATAAATAACAACAAAATTTATCTTCACGTCCTCTCAAATTCTTTCAATCACTCTTTCTCAAATCTCGCGAATCCATTCAATTAAATAAAACTAAAAATTCAGTAATATCAATTACCATGTCTTCGTGTATAAAATACATAATTAGTAATTTTTTTCAACTTTTAGAAATTCAATAATGTAAATTTACACTAACTAATAGTAAATTATTAATAAATGAATATCATACGTCAATGATTAACGTTAATATTATCTACCAAAGAATTACATAGTTATATTTTTAGAAATTTAATAATGTAAATTTACACTAACTAATAGTAAATTATTAATAAATGAATATCATACGTCAATGATTAACGTTAATATTATCTACCAAAGAATTACATAGTTATATTTTTAGAAATTTAAAAAATATCTTATTTTTATACTTTTTGTTAACTGAATGATCATAGAAAAGATTATCAAGTCTAATTTTTTGTTTCTTTTGCTTTCTAATTTCATTTTTCTTTGAAAAAAAAACAAATTCTCGCTCTCTTCCTTTTTCTTTCTGCACTATTATTTGTTCCTTCTCTCTCAATAACCTTTTCTCGTTTTCCTTCGCTTTCTGTCCATTCCAAATATTTCATCACATCACCATTGCCGTACATATTTTATGTTTTTGTTGATTGATTCTAAATTTTAATTGTGAAGAGATCTAGGGTTGTGCCCCTGAAGCTCCCAATCTGAATATCTGAACCGCATTTGTTCCATTTCGATATAGCAGTATCAACTTAATGCATTTTTTTTTAAAGGAGGAAAGAAAAATCAAACTTAGGATCAGCGTTGATCTCTGTGCGCAGTGATTTGGTTTGTGAATGAGAGATACGGTAACGAGATTGTTTTAGATGAAAATGGAGGTCGTCGTCACTGATGCGGCGTCGTTGGACGTCGAATTGTTGCTGCTCCCAGACTTTTCCGCTTTGAAACTCAAGTCTAACCACAATTTCATCGAGAAGCTCTTCGACCAATGGTTGTCGCTTCCGGAAAGTAATCGATTGGTAGGCTTCCTTCCGTTTTGGAATCTGAACTTTGCTGCATTGCTGATTTGAGGAGTCTCCTTGATTAGCTTTTGTTCCCTTCGTTGATATATTTGTATGTATACGTGTGCATGAAGAATGTAGCGATTTGAAATAAATCAATGGAGGTGTCGAAAGGGGCGAGATAGTATCCGTGGTTACAAGACAATGATTATTTAGATAATTAAGGTTTGGGGAAAAGATGCATCAGTTTTATATTATGTTAACTCGTTGAGTTGTGGGTCCCGTTCCACACAGATGTGAGAATTATCAATTTTCAGGGATGAATGAGTTGTTCTACTTATTATTGTGTTGTAATCAACTTCAACTGCCATAGCTCTATCTCTTACGACAAATGACCATGGCCAAGTTTTTGTATATCCTATCTACTCCAGAACAATATAAATAGATAGGTATAACTGAAATGTATGAAATGCTGGTTGAAAACGCTATACCTTTTGTATTTTGTTTTTGGATTTCCTGAAACTGTTATGCCGTTCTCCTGAACATTCCACAAAAAATAGCCTGCAAAGTTGGTGATATTGTTTTAACATCTCCCTTTTTAATTATGCAGGTAACATCGTTACTCAATGAAGCAAAGTCGGGTGTTCCCTTGAATGTCCCGGGGAATTGCTCTAGTCCAAATGCTACCAGTAATTCTGCGCCTTCCATGTTTCCTGCTGGCACTGCTCCGCCTCTTTCACCAAGAACATCTGGTTCCCCTCGCATTCTGAAACAACGAGTTGGGTTTTCCAATTTGGGTTCCCCTTTGAAAGTTGTCAGTGAGCCAGTTAAAGAAGTGATACCACAGGTTAGGGCAGTCTGGTATGCCTTTCCGTTTAATTTCTAAAATGTATCATAGAATAGGGAAGAAATTAAAAAACTCAAGAATTTGTGAAAGGAGGATAAGACATCCTCCAAAACAGAAAAAGAAAATACCTCCCTGAGAAGAAGAAAACATTCAGCCAAGATGCTCAATCCCATAACATATATTATATATGAAATGACAAATTTTACCTAGACAGTATCGTGCAGAAACACCAAAGAAAGGCTATAAACCATACTATCCCATATATTTATAGAAGGTCGACTGACAGAGACATCCTTAAATATGTGACTTTGCACGACAACCATATGTCCCAAAGAAATGAATGAACTGCAGATTATCACAAAAACTCTTACATTGAGGTTTTTCTTAAGCTTGTTACTTAATAATAAATAGTTGTTCCAAAGTAGAAGGACACTTCCAACCCTGCTGGCAAACCCCCCATGAATGTGTAGCAAATAATTTATACCAATCCTATTAAGAACTGCTGTCCAGTTCTCGTAGCTTAGGTTTTGTTTGATGATAACTTTCTATTGTACTGGGATTGTTATGTGTGTGTTTATCCTTCCTTTTTTCTCGTTTCCTTCCATTTTGATGTAATCACAATTTTTTGCTCATTTGCAGTTCTACTATCAAAATGGACGTCCACCTACAAATGAACTCAAAGAACAGTGCTTGTTTAAAATTGATCGAGCATTTCATCGACATATGGATGGCCTGCAGGTTCATGGTGAGATATCACACATAAGTAGCTGATATAGCCTAAAGGGCCATTTTGTTGCACCTGGGGAAAGTGATTTTATATTAGGTTCATGTTTTAATTTTCTAAGTAATCAGATTCTCAACCACCCTCTTTAAGTTGTGTAAAAATAACTTATTTTAAGTATTGCCAGAGATCAAAAGGGGATGTTCTATATAAATTCACTTTCTAATATAATAAAGAGTTGTGGCAGCCAGTTCTGAGAATCATTTTACTTGTTTTCTTTAAATGTCAGAATTCAAATCAATTACTAAGGAAGTTTGCAAGCTGCCATCTTTTTTTTCCACTACTCTTTTCCGAAAGATTGACAATGGAACTGGTGTTGTGACAAGGTGTGTAATTTTTTTTTCTTAAACTTGTTAACTTTTTTGGTGTCATGGATTGGATTCTTGTTTGAGCTGTTGCGAATTTCAAACTTTTAGGTCTAGGTAATGGGCTAGCATAACAAATATCATAAGTCATTCAAAAAGTTTTTTCATAGCTGAACTCCCAATTATTGAATTATTTATTTTTGTAAAAGCATCTTCTTTTGAAATTTGACCCTTTTCCTGACTTGTAATCTACATTATCCATTTCCTCTATCTTGTTCTTCTTCTTTCCCTTTTCCTTTTTTTTTTTGTGTGTGTTGAAAATATTTTCCAGCACATTTATATTTGCTTGATGAAATCTCCACCATCACTTGTGGATTCTCTTAAGCCTATGAGTACCTTAACGCCTTGCTATTTTATTGCTTCTTGATTTCAGTTTTGGTAATAAGTTTAATTTTAACGGGTCCACCTTATATATATTTTATTTTCTAAATCTTCTGTTTAATTTTAAGGGTGTTTTATTCTTTGCACCAATTTTTATAACACATATTCTGGCATTGAACCATCCAAGGCTCAAAGGAAGGGAAGCCAGACAGTATTTAGGAGAGGCCAAAGTATAAACTGGAGGACAGGATTACATCTAATGTACTCCTGACTGCATGTTTTTTAATGGTATAGTTTTAATAAGAAATCGAGGAAAGTTTAGTCTAAACATGAGCTTTGGAAAGAACCTTTGGAATCAAAGGGTTTTTGTTTGCATACAAATAAGGCAAACTATATGTATTAGTATTGCTATTACAGCAAGCAATTAGGGAAAATCAATTGGAAGTGAAACTGGGAGAAGATACTGCACAAGTTTAAAAGTTCAGATATTTGGAATCAATGATGGGAAATCAAAGAGAATGTCACACACAGATGCAACTTGGATGACTAAAACAACAAAGACATTGAGGTTGTGGATGGCACTATATGTTGTCATTTTAGTCGGGAAAGATGTTTGTAGGCATACTGATGAAATGTTTTCAGTGCAAATCCTTTTACTTTTTCTGAATTTCCGTCTTTTTTCACCATATGTTATGCTGGTTGAATTATTGGGTGAAATTTTTTGTATTTGATAATTTATATTGGTTAATTTGGTTCTCTCCTTTAGCCTAATGCAGGCAATCATTGATTAATGGTCTTGTGCCTAGAAGTTATTATTTCCTTATACTTATTCTTAAATTTGTGAAATGTTCATATAGGAACGCATTTGTTGAATATTGGATTAATGGCAACATGTTGACAATGGATATAGCTACGGTAATATTCAAAATATTAAAGCAACCACAGCTGAGTTACATTACTCAGGTTTTTTCTCTAATTTATTTTTCTTTCCTTTTGCTTTTTATTTCTTTTAAATTCCTTCTGTTCATCCTAAAGGTACATTAAGTCTTAGACTATCAAAATATGTCACTTCGTATTTTAATTCAGTTTCATTCTAGGAGGATTTATCTTTTTAAAGGGATCTTGCTTGTTGATTTCTTTGGCTTTCATATTTTGTTCATATCCATCTTTCTTAGAGCAATACTCTACTACATTTCAGGATGATTTTAAGCCTGTGCTTCGTGAGCTTTTAGCAACTCATCCAGGCCTGGAGTTCCTGCAGAGCACGCCTGAGTTTCAAGAGCGATATGGTTTGTAATTGTTTGTTTTTTTTTTGTAAGCATATGGTTTGTAATTGTAGATTGATGCAATGATTTAAAATTCTTCTATCACATGTAGTTCATTGAAACTTTATTTTTCCTATCGAGTGGAAATTTTGTTTCATTTACTAATCAGTTTCCATGAGATATACTCAGGCTTGGTCTTTCTGTGACTTGCCATGGTATCTAATAAGACCCCTATGCCTAAGGTGTATGTTAGAGAACTAACTGAGACATTTTATTCATTCATATATTCCTAACAAGGTTATGGTATTCTATATATATAGAATACCATGACAGAATACAACCCACCTCTTAAGTTGGGTATACACTCATAAGTTGACTGAATCCTAGGCCCTCTTAAAGACTTAGTCAAAATATCTGCAAATTGTTCATT